CTGATCTAGTCTTTAAGCTAGGGGTTTTGCAAACTTTGTAACTTAGACAGCCATATTATCACAAAATTTGTAGCTGAAATTCCCATAAATAGAAATGTTAATGAGTTAATTTTAAACTGTGTTTTGGAAGAGTACATCTTAAACCCAAGGCGCCCCATTCTGGTGTTTGGTGAATTTACTTTCTTGACTGTGATATTTGGTGTCACCGCTCATGGGCACTGATATGAAGTGCTGTATCCTTCTAAGTTTGTCTCCGCTACGTAAAGGCATGCTTGGGGAATAGAGGGAAATTCACTTAGGGGTGACAGGCAGTATAGTGGTTCACAAAGTGGCTAAAAAGGATATGGTGGCCTGCCCGAGGGGGTGTGTGGAAGACAGAAAGGGTAGGTCCCACCTCCGGTGCCTGAGTAGCAGTGTTATAAGCTACAGGTCTCCCCGCTATCCAAAAGTAGAGTGTTTTCATGAAAGTTGTTGGTGTAAAGCAAAGAGGCAGTTAGGACACATCTTGCTGGTGGATGCATGAAATAAATATGCATAAGGCACAGGCACTCACAGACACAGTCCAAAGCCGTGGCGGCGTGATGCCGGGACACTGAGTGTGGCTCTGCGGAAGGAGCTCGGTGGGGCCCCTCTCGCTGCTCGGGGTGTTAGTTGCCCCTCTGATGGCTCGGGCTAAAACAAACACCCAGCGCTATTCTGGCTTTTTGCTTTCTTTTCATAAAAGTGAAAATCCGCTTGAGATTTTTCTTTGGTTATGGAAAACAGGTGCTGATGTAGGCCTCTCGTAAAAGCGAAGTAACAAAGTGAGCTTTGGGAAATTGGGGGACACTTGAAATTGCCCATGGCGCTGTCATAGTTCTTTCCCACCATCGACTCTGCCGCCTGGTGCCCCCCAGAGGTGGTGGCTCTAAACTGTTCCTCAGTGCCATGTGCTGAATTTCTCCCAGGTATATAAGGGGGGTGAAAGCAAATGCTTGAAAATGGCTTTGAGGGATGGTTTATTTTTTATTTCTAAACTGGTTTCCTTAGGGTGAGTATGTCTAGATGCAGCCAGTGCAGAAGGCAGCAGGGATCCTCTTTGGGGGCGTCTCCATCGCTGACTCTCCCCACTTTGAAGTACTTGTTAGTTAAGGGCCCTCCAGGCATATACGTCCTTCTTTAGGACAGTTTTAAACTGTAATTGTTTACAGTAGGTCTGCGCTGATGTATGTTTTGGTGTCAAAACACAGTTTAATGGGACAATCTGTTTACTATTATAGCAACTTGAAAAATACACATTAAAAGTACACATCACTTAGAAAGAAAATGAAATGAATGAAATCTGTGCTTTGCGATCCTCGCAGGGCTAATGAGAGGCTGGCAGCAGTGAGCACTGAGCTTCAGCTGGAGAAGCAGCACAAGAGTTCTCTCCTCGGCTCTGTTCCCACAAGGCCTGTTGACGGACCGCCTTCTGATGAAAGTTCTAGTAGTAGCGTAGAGACCGAAAGGAGTCTTACTCGAAGAAGGAACTTCAGGAATTTTTCAGATCCTTCAACTAGCATAAGCGATCTGTTCAGGGTTAGTTATGTTATCTTTTTTTTCCTTGGGTTTCAGATTTCTGATACAATTCTTGTTTTTAATGTGATGAAATTCTGAGTTGTTTATTTGACTTCTGCACACTAAGTAAAAGCCATAATTAATTGTGCTAATAAAGGAGACAGAAATTGTATAATTCTTTAAAGTCCCTGGACTTGTAATTTTCAAGAGATACCTGTCATTAACTTTATTCAATAAATGCAACTGACAAATTCTTAATTTCTTAAAAAGCTCCATTTTAAATTCTAGTTTAGAAATTAAGTATTATTGCCAAATAACTAGAGATCCACTTTCCAATGTTTGGCTTAGCTTCTGATTGATTTCGGTTTGGCATTGGTTCATAGTCATTTTCAAGTTTTGCTGCACCCCAGTTTTTCTACCCCTAAGCATAAGTAAATGATTGGCATTGAGCTACTTAACCACATGCAGATGTTTTTTATTTAAAAGAATCCAAGATATATTCTTTTTATGAATTCAGTAAAATTGTAACACTAAAAACATTACATTCTGTTCTTAAGTTTAAAATTTTTATGATTTTCTTCTGTAAGAGTACATCCTTAATTGCTATTTTACTTACAGAATTGTTATTTTAATTGTTATAAAATGTCTTACTGAGCAATTGTAGAACATTTCTAAGTATGTAGTGAAGTAAAGCAAATACTTAAGTTTTTAAAATGAAGTTCACTTATATCTCTGTCTTGCCCTCACTAGGAATACCGAGGTGGCATGATAGGGAGTCTTTAAATTACAACCAGTTTTCATTGTGTATCATTGTTGTTAAAATAGCCATTTAAATCGGTGCGCGTTGGTTTATGGTTTGATAGTGTTTTCATGATCTTCTTGATGCAGAAAACGGTAGCACGGGCCCTTGCTGAGTGAGGTCTCAACCTGTTTTTTCTCACTTGGCTTCATCTCATAATAAATCGAAGAAGGAAAAAGCTCAGGTTTCATAGTTTTGTGGGTAAATTGAGTCTAAGTGCTTCAGAGTCATGAAACCAGACTGACATGGTGTTAAAAAAAAAATGCATGGCTAACACTTCTGTCAGTGGCTAAGCATGATGCAAACTCGAAATGTTTTCATTAGTTGTCACCAAAAAATCGACAGTGGGTCACTTGACAGGATGACGGTGGAAGAGTGTGAGTGCAAAAGCAGTACAGGAGAAGACTCCTGAGGACAGTTGTTTCCTTTGATGTTTTTGGAGGAAAGAGGTGTCTATTTTTCAGTACTTCTAGATACACTGGAAAGTGATTTATTTTAAACCCAGTGTTGTAGTTCCGAGGTATACGTAGTTCTTCTGTGGGGCCGAATCATGCTGGGTTTAGCAGGGAGGTTAGCAAGCCCAGCTTTGTCCTGGTGCAGAGACACGGCTCCCTCAGTGCTGCCGGGCACCTCACAGGAGTTACTGTACAGTTACTGTTTACAGATTTTTTAGTCAGACTTAGAGAAAGAAAGTGCGTTGTGGAATTGCTAGGGATGTAATTATTTCTGCTGGGAAAACATAAATGCCATGAGAGGTGTGAACATACTGTTTAAAATGACAGGAAGTTTTTGCATGGGGCTTAACAAAACAACAGACTTGTACAGCTTTTCAGCTATGGCTCTAGAAAGCAAAATGTTAAAAATGGCATTGGGATTGACTTTAACATTCTCCTTTATGTGCAAGGTTTTAACATTTTGGACTGTTCCTACTGTGAAGTTCCAGCTTACTCAGCATTTTCTTCTAACTTGACAGAAGTGTTGCTCTAAATCTGTGATTTCAGTTGTGCTAGTTGTGGAAGAAAGTTTTTTCCAGTTCGTAAAACTTGGGTTTATTGCCTCAACTGCTGCATGAAGTATAGCCTTGTCACGTGACATCGTTGTAGCGGTAACAGATGAACCCCGTATCTGTTTTGCTAGTTTGTACCCTCAGATTTCACATTCTAGTTTATTTCTGGGATGTTTTGTCCTACATGTCAGAAGCAGTTTTACAGTTTTACTCAGTTGTGTTATTTAATTATATTACTGTAAAATACAAAAAGTTAAAATTAGCCTGAGCAGATACATCACTGTTAGATTTTCTTGCGCATAGAATTTTTTTCTGAGAACTGAAAACTTAAAAGTGGATTCCAGACAATCTTATAACAGACAGAATTTCTCTGTTTTAGAGATTTTTTTATGTTCAAGAGTTTTTAAGTATTGGTGTGCCTAACATGAAGCATGGCCCCAATAGTTAATAAGTGTCCTTCAAGTGTATTTTAAATAGGAAGACTAAATTTTACACTCATTGATTTTGGACTTCTGGTGCATTACTGATACTTTCAAACATTTTCTAATGATTTATTTAAGTAATTTTTAAATTTCTCAAATGTCCATTCAGTTTAGCAGCTCTTTTTCTAAATGGGATTATAGCAGTGCACCAGAGCTAAAACGATTAACATTCCTAAGCCTGTAACTTTTTACATGACACAGCACTGTGTCTCAGCAGAATCTGGTCACGTTTCTTTTAAAAGTAGGCTTCCGAGGCAGGGCGCATCCACTCTGAATTTTAATTCTAATCAAACTATCACAGTAGTTAAGCTCATTTCTCGAGGCAGAGGCAGAGTTCAGTAACCTTGTTTCTGGTATCAGCTCTCTGCCCTGTGGACTCCCTCCTGCCCTCATTTCATTTTGTCTGAATGGACAAATGAGGATGCGTGTTATCTTTTGAAAGACAATCACTCAACTTCTTCCAGTTCTTTTACTTTCATTCACTTTTTTCTCTGTACTTAATTTTTCAGCTCCTAGATCAACAAATTCTCATTTCTTTTCTCTGCAGCAAAATACATGTATTTAATAGTTACAAACTGACAAATGTCATTTCCTTCATATATTAACCTATTTACAACAGGATGATGAATCAAAGTGGTTAAATGAGTTGATTCTATTACATTTCTGGAATTGTACTACTTTTTATAACATTTAAAATAAGAATGACAGCAAGTTTTAACTCAAAAGTATCAATAATCGGAAAATATATTCACTTCGGAAATGAACGTGTGTGTATATGTGTGAGGCAAGTGTGTTTTTATCAAGTTGATCTCGGAAAGAGAGGGCAGCATTATCTTCCAGCCTGTGATCTGAGTTTTGACCTCAATCCTGCAGTGTCCCCAGTGGGACCTTCCATTTCTATGGGACATGGTATGCAAACTGCCAGTTATGAGACAGTCCTCCTAATTAAAAATCATTAGAATTAGAACTTGCTGGTACATTGTCTTCCTGTGTATAATTTTCTCATCTTTCTGTGTTTTTGTTAAATGGAAAAGTTTAAAACTGCAGGTGCCTTCTCCTTATTAATGTTGAACTTCAGACCACTTCCACCATCAGGACATGGGGGTCCTCACCTAGAAATAAACATAAAAGTCCCAGAAGTACCTATTTAGGAAAATAGCTTTGCAGAGGAAAAGATAGTAATCTTACATTCAACTCATGTAAAAATGTGATCTACATTTTGCAAAGAGTTTATTAACAGTTACATGAAGTTATTTAAGTAAAGGTTTCTGCCTTCATCTTTTGGGCATTTTTCACTTCACAGGACCCTCCTGGCACTGTTGTCACATTGTTGATGGCAGAAGGCATCTCTAGAATGCTCTTGTCAGACAGTGTTACGGAAAACATTCTCTGAAAATACTGGCAAATGGTATCCCCAAATTTTATCTTTGCATCTAACATTTACAAAGGCCTCAGCTCTCTTGTCACTGTTACCACCACAGTGTTTATTATGTCTGGTGTACTAATTTAGACCCTGTTCAGTGAGCAGGTGACTTTTATAAGAAAGATTTTTAAAAGAACACTCTAGATGGGGACACGTAGTTTGAAATGTCCCCACACATTTCATAATCAAGTACGTAACTAATTAAGTCAAGTTTCAAAAAGTTGGCCCTAATTTCTAGAACAGAAACAAAGTTACAGTTAAAGAATTACATATTGTTTTCCTTGTTTCTAACTCTAGGTAGTTGTGAATCAGGAACCAACTTTGAAAACTGGCGCTAGCCTCTCCTTTTCTTCAAGCAGATTTTCTGATAGAAATATCTTAGTCATATACAGAGAGCAAAATACATTTGCTTAACTTGTTTGCCAGTAGAACTTTCACTTGACATCATAACAGAGCCCCCCTTTTTTTTTTCATTTTATGCATCTACAATTCTGTGCTAAAACCATTAGCGAGAACAGACCTTAAAATTTTAGTTTTCTAAAAGTGCAGGAATGGAAAGCTCATTTTAAGGAAAAACCCATTAACGTTAAGAAAACTAAACTTTTATAAAGGGCAGTTTTCCTGAGAAATGCAAAGTAATGCATTCAGTGTAGAACGTGACTTGAATTGTTTAAACTCTTTGTGCTGATAAGATCGGGCATCGCTCTCTGAGATTATGTGCATCCGACAGGGCAGGGCTCACTGTGCTTTACATCAGGGGAATCTAAATAGCCTTACGTACATATGTTGTCTATTATCTAAGATCAAAGAAAGTAGGAATTTATTTTATTTATTCCTGTGATTATTTTTTCTATTTAAGCAATCCCCAAGTTAGGTCAAGTCTCTAAAAGTATTATTTAAAGGCCACATTT